TCATAACCTGCAGCTGGATCTTCAGCAGCTACAATATTTATGAAAAGACATCAGTGACAAACTTATAATTTACTGTTGAATATGCTTTGTGAATGTGTTGTAACAACTGGACACACTTTTGGGGATGAAGCACTTAGGAAAGAATGTGGCTATTAAACTTAACAGAAAGGTTTGACGTCAGATAGATAGATGCTTTCACCTTCGCACAAAATTATTCTCCTTAAAATTGTTATTATTATTATTATTATTATTATTATCATTGTTATTATGAAGTCAGTATCTCCGATTCTCGGTCTGCGTAAAAACGGTTTTAAAATGTTTATCATCGGGCTTTGATTTCCACCTTTGTTTGTAATGTGACCAAGGAGCGTTTGCTTATCAAATGTTGCCATCAATCGGGGTCTTTTTAAAGCCAATGCACAACTGTTTTCCAGCACCACCGTAAATATTCATATTCTGTGGTAGGCTACTAAAAGTTGTAAGGATTAATTGTACACACAATGCGAATATATTAGAAGTAATGCAAGCCTGACACCGTGTACCACGTGACTTCTTGTAAGTGCCGTGAAGAAACTGAAAGTTAAACGGGCTGCTGAATCTTGGTGCTTTAAACGAGGAAGACAGAGCAAGAGCCTCGGTGCTAATTTCATTTGTAGTGTTTAAAGTAAGACCAAGTTTGTGGACAGAGAGCAAACCTCCTTGTCTCAACCAGAATGACGACACAAGATCAAGATGAGAAGAGATACGACCCCAGAGATACGACGCTGAAATTTGTCAACAGGAAGGATGAGCTGGATCCATATTGTAAGAACTAAAATAAATTTAAAGTATACGGTTTGTACTTTTACCTGTTATCTTTATCCTTGTTATTTTACTAGCTAAGCCAACTGTAGTACTGCTGGTAATAAACCAATCCTCATAAAGGAACAGTGCTCATTAATGAATTCAGCACAGACTTTACATCGTAGAGGTAACAGGGAGACACAATAAGTTATTAGTTAGCCATCTAACTAGTGATGGGTCGTTCGCGAACGAAATGGCTGCTCTTAGATCCGGGTCTTTGACGTGAACGACACGAGCCGGCTCCTTATCGCGAGCCGTCACGTCGGGGTTTTTTTTGGTTGTTTTCTTTCTCTCAGCCTCTCTCTCGCACTTTTTTTCTGCTTCACTCATCACGCGAGCCTCGTGCTTTATGCTGGGCAGAGGGGGGAGGGGCGGTAGTTACACTCAGTAGCACAGGAACAGAGCCAGAGGGAGAGAAAGAGAGCCAGGGACAACAATGTCACATTAGAAAGGTATAGTAATCATCCACAACTATTTTCAGTTGCAGATGATAAAGGATTCAGAAAGTTTATTCATGCGGGCCCAT